AGGGTTGTGATTCGTTATTTATACCAAAAGGTTGGAATGGAATGCGAATTAAAAAAAAATGGCAAGAATTATAAGAGCAACAAATTTGATGAGGGAACTTTTTTACCAAAGAGCCGCCTTTTTCAAATCACACTTGTTCTGATTTGATGGATCTTACTCCTAGGTTAAGTGAGGATTGCTACAAACAAAGTGATGTCTCTATTTTGGAAATATTGTTTCAAGTCGATATAGCTATTTCTTCCTTCATTGAGTAGCCTGCGGTGTTGAAATCAGTCAAAGACCTTAGTTGGTCTGCTACTCTACCGAATTATACATCATCAATGATCTCTTTCAGACCACTATGGATATTGGGGTAGATTCCCTCTCACATTTTCTTATGGGAAAACTGTCAAATAGGCCCCCCTACTAATACATAAAAGTCAATTAAGTCCCTGAACTCAAAAAACACTCAATTAAGCCCACGAACAATAAAAAACGAGGCAAAACAGTCCTTTTAGCAGGTAATTAAGCGGTTAAAAAGAGAAAAAGAAAATGTAAAAGCATGCCACATCATTTGCCACACATGAAACTTAACTGGGAACGATTAATATCCCGCTAAAAGGACTGTTTTTGCCTCGTTATATTTAGTTCGTGGGCTTAATTGGATGTTTTTTGAGTTCAGGGGCTTAATTGACTTTTTCGTATTAGTTTTTTTTTTAGACCCGGTAGGTAAACCACCTAAGTCGGTGGGGTAAATGTCGGGGAACATTTACCGAGTTTTATTGATAATCAATTTAAAAACACATAGAAAGGGGGACTAGACCAAAACCTTTCTAGAGAGGCATACCTCCCAAAAAGACATCAGAAAGCAAAAATCAAAGACAGCAATTGGGGGGACCAAACCTTACCCAATTGATACAACAAACACTAAACTAGCCATCTAATTGAAGAATATTAAACAGATCGAAATTAAACTCAATACGGACTCGACCCGGAAGCAATGCATATGAAGCAATGCATACAATTTGGTTTAGTCATTGCACACTTTTTCGTATTAGTAGGGAGGCCTATTTGACACTTTTCCCTTTTCTTATTAAAGAGTTTGAACGAATTGTTGTCTCATGTTTGGATATACGAGACTCATTGGATAAGAGATTGTCAGAGACAACCACTCACGAGGTAAACTTATTGACCGATGTAGTTAGTAGGTAATAATCAGTGCTCTGTAGGGATTGCTTGTGAGGATATCTAAAAACTTATAAGCATCTATCTAAAATCTAAAACTTATAAGCATCAATAATGGTTAGGACATTTTGGGAATGATAAAAATGTTAGTGTAACTCTAAAGCAAAATGCACTTGTACAATTTGGTTTAGTCATTGCACACTTTATGTTTTCCTCCTTTTAAGTTTTAACTCTGTTAGATCCAAGTATCCAACCAGTGAGTTGAACATTGTTAGCGGCCTACACATTATAAATATTGTATGCACTTAGACTGAAAAATTTTGCATTTTGATTTTTTTTCCATTTAATTTTTGCATTAAAACTTCCATTTTATTTTTTCTACTTTACCTTGTGTTATGTAGAAGATAAAAATATCAATTTTATGTAACTCTTAAGATTAGAAGTTATGATTAGAAGGATGCACGTCATATACTCATATCATAAAAATTAATTGTTTTTATTATTATCAATTTATTATTGTTGTTGTTATTATTGATTATTATTATTAGACCGTATTAATATTCCAAAATCGCGAGATCAAACAGGAGTTTGATTTGGAATTTCGTATATTGTATTTTGTAATATGTCCGACTTCGGGTACAATGTATCAAAGAACATGTACATGTTAACCTGAAGTTCGATCATAAACATTTCCGGTTTCACTCCAAACTCGTGTAGTATTTGATTTGATCATATATTGTTGTATTTCGTTTTGTTTCAAGTGTTTTATATCTTGTTGGAAAGATATTATCGACTTCGAGATAGTATATATCTATCCAGTAATTGCAATATTAACACATTGTACTCCTGACAGTGCAGTGTGACACAATATATATTTCACATTCGTTATTTCACTTGCCTCTTAAACAATTAAGTGACGCGTGTTCTACACCCTATAAACCTAATCACTCAGCCCAAACTTTTTAAGATTTTTTATTACCACAATATTGATATTGTATTGTTATAGGGTGTTTAAGAACGATCCTTACCTTGCTTATGGGCAAAGAGATGTCTCGCATTCTTTGTTTGTCTCACACCTCTTTTTAACCATCTGTTATGGTGGAAAACTATGCATAAAGCATGTATGCAATTTCAAACAACTTAAATACACAATCATTAACATTCCATTACGTTAACTTCATAAATATATCTTTGGGCATTTTCCCCACGTGCATCACGCGTCATATAACTAGTTTTTACAGATAATGTTTTATCATACTTGGGAGATAATTTTTGGGTCATGCTTCAGAGAGTGAAAAGAGAACTCTCATTTTCGTCATTGAAGACCTATGGGTATCTAATACAAATGAGGACATTTGCAACAAGACTCGCCTGGTCACGAGGGAAAATTGTCTGCCTACACATAACCTCAACACTCAAATGAAAATGTATCACAAACAGTATCAGCGAACACGTCCCATGAGAACGAGATCTCAATCTCAAGTGGAGTTCTAATGACTTCTCAGAATTAATCTTTTCTAGGGAGGGTTCATTTATTACAATTAGGGTTGATCTATTTAATGTATTTTTTTCTTTTCTTTTACCCTGCTTTTGTCTGTTCTTTATTTTCCTTTTTTTTCTTCATTTGTACTCTTCTTTTGTTACAATCATCAATAATATCTTTCCTTGTTAAAAAAACATGGGCAACAACTTATGCACCAAATGAAGGTGAGACCGAAGGTCTTAAATGGACTTCGTGCAAGACCCTGTGTCTATTTTATCCATTTTTTTTTGTAATGGAATGTAAATTTTTATATACACAAGTCCATTGGCTGATGTGAAGTACATTTTAATATTGAAATCCATCTTCTCATTAAAGATACCCTAAGGAGATGTTTGGCACTCAATGGTTAGGAGTTAGCGGTTAGGAGATTTGGTTAGCGGGTAATAGATAACAGATTGAATCAGCAGATTTCACCAGCGGATTAGTTAGACGGGTTGCAGAAAGATGTTTGGTAACTTAGTTATTTGCTTGTAGCGGATAGTAGATCAAAAGACAAAAAAGACATTTTAATTTTTGTGTGTGTGGTGTTTTTGTATTGTTTAATACTTCGTATGAAGCTTTAGGAGTATGGTGTCTCTCGCTTCTCTCTAGGGCTTCGGCCGCTTGGAGTTTTTTTCCGTCTTCGATTTTAATCAAAGGACGGCCGCTTTTTCCGTCTTCGATTTTAATCGAAGGACGGCCGCTATTTCCGTCTTCGATTTTAATCGAAGGACGGCTGTTGTTGTTTGTGCTTCATACTCGAAGGGCGGATTTGCTGTCATGGCTCGAGGAGATCGGCGTTGTGGTCAAGGTTCAAGGATGATGTATTGCTGTCGTCGTTGGAGAAGATCGGCGCCGCCTATCCGTTTACTCTGGTTGCATGAAGCAGGGATGAGTTTGGTTATGCAGGGACGGAGCATTGATGCATGGCCTTTGGCAGACAAAGGTCACGGAGTATCAATTAGCATGGTACCGGTGGTAAGACCTCCTCCTGAACCACCACCATGGGATGTACGAGGTGCTAGAGTTCGTGAACGCTTTTCTTATAGTTTTTATCTGTTTGTTATTTGTTTTCTTGTGTCCACTTTTGTTGTTGGTTTTGACAGTTTGTTTGATTTTTTTGCCTCTCTTTATGTCATTGGGTATGGTTGGATCTATGGGAATATGTTTGGCTCTGTCAAGCCCACTACATGGTTATCGATTCGTGTTGCTCTCTCAGGGGTGACCGTCTCAAAGTCTCACCATAGGGTTACAGTCGTAGTTGTTGAAGTTTCAGTTAGTGTCAGTTTTATTTTCCTTTTGCTTGATGTAATGATCTTGAATCTTTTGATATGAATAGGGACCCGTTTGATGATTGAAAAAAATACTTCGTATGAAGTTATGACTATACTAATTCATACGTACATAACATAACTAAATAAAAATATGAGCATAAAATGCATCAATTAATTACACTACTTTTATAAAATTATAAATAATACGTAATATTGTATTTGTATTTGGAAATTAGTCAAATTACACCACTTTTATAAAATTATAAATAATACGTAATATTGTATTTGTATTTGGAAATTTTCCAAATAGTGTACTAGACACTAGTCACAATATATGTCTCTTATAACATGGGCTAATTTTGCATATGCTGGTCACGTTTTTTTTTTTTTTTGCATATGCTGGTCACGATATTGTTATGTTATATTTTACGAAGATGTGTATAACTATTGTTTTTCTTACAAATATTTATATACTCCTTGTTTTGTAGATGTAATTTATAAAAAATAGAGTAAAATGTTTCTTCAATATTTATGGAATTATAAACAAGATCAAGGACAATATTTATTTAATGTTGGATTACGTTTGCAAAAAAGAGAGAGAGAGAGAGACAATCAATCGTTTGCCTCTGTTTCACGTTACCAAGATTCTTATACTAGTATGTGGTAAGAAAGATATTTTCATGTTTTAACGTACTTTCAAATCATTAACTTTTATTTCTTACGGCCTATGCGAGATATATTGGGATTTTTAATTTGTAATTTTTTACTATATATTTGAACTTATTTTTTGAATTAAGACAAATGTGATATACTTCATATATGCATGTAAACAAACTACCTTTTCATGTTCAAAATATGTCCCCGTGCATCGCAGGGGTATTATACTAGTTGGGTAATATTGGAAGAAAGTGTCCAAGTTTAAAAAGTTAAATTCATAAATATGTTTAATTGGGGAATAAGATTGAATTTTATCACTAGTCAGTTCTTGCCCACCACTTTCACTATAACACACTTCATATACAATACACCTTGTTTTTTAGCTTGAATTTTGGTTTTGTTTCAATGCTGGATCAAATAGGTTTGAATGGGGACAGCGGGTGTACTACATACACTGATACCCAAGGCGACAACCGTAGCTAAACAGTTTCAATGGCTAAAACATGAGCTAATTATTAACAAAAGGGGAAACTCTTGATTATAGTAATAGACCAAGCAAAACCTGAAATGTCCATTGATAACTCTTTTTTAACTTACTAAACGGGTTTTAAGGAACTAGTCTAATAAAAAAAACGTGCTTCCCTCGGAAATAACATTAAGTTTGCACGAAAGACAAGTTTGTCATCTCTTTGGACTAAGGCTTGGATGATGTTGTTGTTGTAGCCATCTTCTTAGGCAACTGGCCATTTATCATGTAGTTTCCTACCTCCCAATCAAGTAATGGAGGAGGACACCAGCTGCAACGCTTACATTCAAACTCTCCACAGCCATATATGTCTTAAAGTTACCACTTGAGCCTTCACTATCTGTTTCTTCATCTACCACATCCTCATCTTCCCCCTTCGCCCTAACATCTACGGGTATGCTCCCTGGAATTCTAACCAACTGAGTACATGATCTCTCAACCAAGGGCCTCAAGCCCGTCCCTTCACTGCCTAAAACTAGAACCGTAGGAATGCCCCGTTCGACCTCGGTCAAAGGAACGGCTCTTGAAGAGACCGAACCTCCTAACACCCGCCAACCGTTTTCAGATGATGATGTCAAGAACTGCATCATGTTCTTGCATGATCTAACCTCCATTAACTCGAGCGAGCCTGCACTTGCTTTGCTCACAACTCCACTCAACGGAGCAGAGTTCTTGGCACACAAAACCACACCTGAAGCTCCAAAGTAGTAAGAGGATCGTATGATGGCTCCTAGATTCTGAGGGTCGGTCACCTCATCTAGGGCTACCCATAGAGGGGCAGCATCCTCTCCCTCAACCAAAACAGGTTCCAATTCTTTGATGCTAACCATTTCTAGAGGGGAAGCATCGAGGACTAGACCTTGGTGAGGCCGATTGTCAGTAATCATGTTCAGGTCATGTTTGGACAACTCCTTTGTACACAACCTGATTTTTTCCGCCATCTTTAAAACTTTCTCGAACCCTTTCTTGTCTTTCTTCTTCCGATTGTTCGAGCTCAAATCCAACCCTTCTTGAATGTACAAAGCGTAGAATTCCCTCCTTTCAGCGGATAAGGCAGCCAAAACTGGACCAATACCATAAACGCCTTCCCCAACCATTTTTGGCACAGTTGATTCTGTAGCCTCCTTCCACGTCTTCCGGCCCCAATTTTCCTGATTATTCCACCTCCTAACGTCAGGCCTCTCGGGGGCATTCGTCACTCTAATTCTATTAAATCTGTTTTTTATCTTATCCCATCTAGGATCATCCACCTGCCCAGTTTCTTGTTCTTCCTCTTGTACTTCGCCACCATAACCTTCATCCCAGCGCTGATTCGTTCTGTTATCAAAGCTTATAACTTCAACATTTTCAGGAGCTGGTACAGAACTTTTCAAGAACTTCTCTGCTGATTCCTCCCATGAAGACTTGCTTGTTTTCATTGTCATCACTTTCTCAGAAGTTTTAGCCTGTTTAGCCCTGTCATTTGACAGCCATGGTAGATTCTTTCCATAGCCTCTTGCACCTTTACCCAAAAATGAACTTGAAAAACATCTGGGAGTGATTCTTTGGTAACGCCCAGAAAGAATCCCACAGGAGAAATTCCGGTTATGAAGTGAGATATTGCTGATACTTAACGACTGGCCGTTCGGTTGGTGGTTTCTTTTAGAAAAGTTCATGGATTGCAATGCGAATCTGTGATTCACTAGTGTGGGTTGGCACATTATCAGTAAAGACTTATGCTTTGTATGAAACTGCATCACCATAGCCATGGTGGGCTGCTCTGAATCAAAACCCTAACTGAGATATATTTATGTATGTACTCCGTATAATAGATTGAATTGAACACCAATTATGTAACTGATGCTATGCTACAGAAATTTCATACAGGAAGATACCAATAGAACCTGGAATTTCTAGTCGCAAGTTTTGGAACTGCTGCTACAAATCCTAAGCTGCCGCCCTAGAAGACTTGACTCCCACGAAGAGTCGTCTACTCTCTTGATATAATTCATACTACTGACATTTACTACTACATGATTAGTTCCTTACTACATGATTTACTACGGAGTACTCCCCCGTCATGAATTAGCTTCAAACTTTCTTTTTTCGTCCGTCCCAAAATTATCTTCCCTTTCCTCTTTTAGCAAAGAATTTGTGGTTCACAATCATTCTTACACATTCTTACACATTTCTCTCTCCTCCGCACAACTCTCCACCACACAAATCTCACTATCTTAATAAATGTGCCTAACCGAAATGGGAGAAAGATTAGGGACGGAGGGAGTACATTTTTTCAATGAAAATTGAAAGTATTGGCATCATAGTAATTTGATGATATTTACTACATGATTTACTATACATCTTTTTGTTACTTAACAAATTCGGCACTCAACCAATTCAATCAATTTTAATGTTAATGTTGGTCCAAAATAGGACGCCTGTAGGCTTTTAGGAAAACTACGATAGACATTCAAGTAGGAAATCAAGAAAACGATACAAATAAGAAAAGTGCTAAGGAAGTTTAGTTGCCAGAAATAGCATATGAAATCTGCTCCCTTAATCTGAATTACAACATGCCTTTTATAGGCGTATACAAATCATAACCGCTGCCGATAATAATGACTAATTAATTACGACATTAATATGAAATTAAATACATAATTAATAGCGCATTGATTGCCTTGGCCATTACTGTTCCTGGCTGGTGGGTCGGTCTGGCTGGCGCATGAGCTCCCTTATGCTGGACTGGACGACATGCTCCCCATCGGGCTGGAGGCAGGCTCCTTGCTAGGCTTGAAGGCAGACTCCCCGCTAGCCTGGAGGTAGGCTCCCTGCTAGGCTGGTGGAAGGCTCCCCGCTGGGCTGGAGGCAGGCTGCTGGCCGAGCTGGAAGGCAGGCTCCCCGCTGGACTAGAGGCGGGCTCCTGGCTGGGCTGGAAGGCAGGCTCCCTGCTGGGAAGGAGGGCAGGCTCCCCGCTGGGATGGAAGGCAGGTCGCTGGCCAAGCTGGAAGGCAGTCTCCCCGTTGGACTATAGTTGGGCTCCTGTCTGGGCTGGAAGGCAGACTCCCCGCTGGGCTGAAGGTAGGTTGTTGGCCGGGCTGGGAGGCAGTCTCCCCGCCGAGTTGGAGGCAAGCCACATCTTGGGCTTCCGCTCCTTGATGGGTCTGATCGGTTGGGCCGACTCAAGCTCTGGGTCATTGGGCTTGAGCTCCTCCACCACAACTGCTCGCCCTCCTCCACAACCACCTCCGTCCGAGGTAGCAATCATGGAAATTTTTTTATTTTCGTATTATTTTTCCTTTCACATAACTTATTTTTATTTATGTTCGAGTGGATATGATCGGAATATTTTGATTTTTGAAGAATTTTTGATAGGCAATATTTCATTTTTGACGTTTTAGATTTCTTCTTGCCCGTTTTGTGTCTAGCGAGTCAGATTGCTTTGAATGGATGACCGACTCTAAGTCAATTCCTAGAGCTTATGATCGGATCTGTAATCGGTGTCTGCATTTTGTCTTCTTTAGCTCTATATTAATGAAAGAAAATTTCCTTTTGTACACGTTCACACCCGTACATCTATTTGTGAGAGGTTATTTTTGTTTGTGCATGCCAGTTCACAGAATAAAATCCACACACAAGAACGTGTACACCAACAACAGTAGTTTTGATGATCATAAAAAATAATTTTGTTTACCCGTTCCCCAAGCTGCAAAATCATTTCATTCACAAAATAAAATCTGTCCTCTTTTGGAAGCGCTCACTAAACCCTCGCCTCCGCTATGGGTACGCCGGAAACTTCAAGGGAGCCTTGCCCCGATCGCATCCTAGACGACCTCGGCGGCGCCTTTGGGATGGGAGCTGTAGGGGGCTCCGCCTTCCACTTTATCAAAGGCATTTACAATTCCCCCAACGGCGCGCGGATGATCGGTGCCACCCAAGCCGTCCGAATGAACGCCCCCAGAATCGGCGGCAGCTTTGCCGTATGGGGCGGCCTCTTCTCCTGCTTTGATTGCACCATGGTCTACGTGCGCCAGAAGGAGGATCCGTGGAACTCCATCATCTCCGGAGCTGCCACCGGCGGCCTCCTCTCTTTGCGCCAGGGCCTAGGATCCTCCGCCCGAGCCGCCGCATTCGGAGGCGTCCTCTTGGCTCTGATAGAAGGAGCTGGTATCATGCTGAACAAGTTCACGACTGCTCCTCTGAACGCCCCGATCTACGTCAACGATCCGATGGGACCTCCTGGCGGGAATCAGCTTCCGAACAAGGACACACCTTCAGAGTCGTGGTTTGGAGGGTTGTTCGGTGGGAAAAAAGAAGAAGAGAAGAAGAGCAGTGGTTTGAAGACGGAAATTCTGGAGAGCTTTGAGACGCCCATCCCTCCTACTTTCGAATTTAAGTGAAAATTCTCTTCAAATTCAACCCTAATCTTGTTTATGTTGTAGGATAAATTGGAGCTATTTCTAAAAATGCAGTCTTTTTTACTATAAGTTTTATGGGGTTCAATGATTTCTTAGTAGTTAGTACTCCGTATGAACTATAAAGTATGAGATTCAGGCCATTAGTAGGAAGCTTAGTATATGTACCCTGATCTGCCCAATATTCCAATCTATGAAAATTTTTCTATCTGAGAATTTCCCGCTTTATATTTTTCTACAGACAGCTAGGATTCGACACAATGTTTGTCTTCAATGCTCATTTACTCTAATAAATAAAGTGGAAGTTCAAGAATAGTTGTTATATGATGAATCCATCTCTTAGTTGCATATTTGAGTTGCTTGTCATTTATACACTATCACTAATATCTGGGGGGAACAAGAACAGTTATGTACTGCTACAAGCAGTGGTTAGATCATGTGAAATAGCAACACAATACTTAGCACATGCCACAACAATTTCAGATTCATGATCCAGCCTTCACTAGTGAGTCATACATTTGGGTATTAGATCTTTGGGCTATTGTATCAAGATTATTGGTACTGCCATATTTGGAATTTTTCACTTTCAGTCTTGTGATTATTGGGATATAGACATTTTTTTTGTGATTGTTTCCAAGTTCATCACCACAGCTGGAGGAACTAAATTCTTATGGTCACAACAGTTCATCACAACAGTTGGATGACCTAGATTGTTATCGTCACAATAGTTGCAAGACCAAAACTGTCACTGCCAGTCCATCACACAGTTAGAGAATCATTGTCACATGAATAAAAATGGAAAAATTGAAAGATAAGTATCAACCTCCAAATAGTCAGAAGATTAAATATGTAAAAATTTGAAAAATCAGATTCCAAAAGTGTAACTCCCACGATAATTAGTGATTTAAAATTGAAAGAAGGATTATATAAATTCTTTAAACTGGACCCTATGGGCTGAGAGGTTGATGAATGGTATGGTATTGCTCTTCTTATGAAGTTATTTACTTGTCACTTTTTCATCTGTTGGAAATACCAGTGTGTAATTCCTTTGTAGAATATACAGATAAGTGCTATGAGGGGGAACCTTAGGTACCCGGTTACGGTGTTGTTATGTGACTGAGACTGCTCTGAGAGGTCACGATCACGGGGTAGAGTGCGTGTAATTCTTTTTTAGAATATACAGATAAGTGCTATGAAGGGGAACCTTAGGTACCCGGTTGCGGTGTTATGTGACTGAGACTGCTCCGAGAGGTCACGATCATAAGGTTGAGTGTTGGGAGCGGTCTTTTGTAAAATGAGAAAGGATGGTTTGCTCTTTATACACCTTTGTGGGGGAACCTTTCTCCTGACTCTCGCCTTGCAGGGATGCCAGTGTTCACCGGGCTGCCCCTGCATACAGATAAGTGCTATGACTGTTTTATCATTCTTTTCCCTCTCATTTCATGCTATTCTGTTGTACATATTGAAGATAGGGAGAAAACTATCAGACTATGTCTGATGGGAATAAACTCTCTGAGGAGATCGACTTTATTTTTGAAAAGAGGAAATCATTTTCGAATAATGGAAAGTTATCATCAAAATATTAAATATTTCCCGGCGCCAAACTCAGCGAAAATCCTGGGGGGGTGCAGAAGCTTTGGATACACTTGTTCTAGGATCGAGTAGCCTCTCATCATATTGCAGCAGGAACTAATCTAGAAAGGGAATTGTTCATAGATGCCAAACAGAGAACATCCAAAAAACACTATGCAATTCAATTTTGCTAATACTTACCCGAACAATTTACCTCACTGATTTATGGTTATGTAGAGGTTACGGCTGATGATGATTATAGTGTAGAATTTAGATGTTTGATGCCCAGTTTCAAGTTTAGATGACATGGATATTTAGACACTTTTGTTCTTAAAGTTTCTCACTATATGCTGAGGGTCTATTTGATGCACAAAGGTTAATGTTTTGTGCTGTTAGGTTGCACGGTGAACTAAAAACATTCATACTTGTAAAATTACGTTTGAAAACATGCAGCAAAGAAAACAATTTTTCCTGGTTAACAGAATTTACTTTTATAAAAAGTAAAGAGAAAGGAAGGAGGCCAGAAGTGTTAAAATTTGAGACTTCACTTGGATTTGTCATATCTGGAGTTTCAATAGTTTGAATATTACAGGCATGTGTTTTATGACATTGTTGTCGTGCATGGCTGATGTGAGTGTGAGAGGGAATACATGGTCTGCAAAAGAAGCTCATTCATATTTCTAAATTTCTATCATCATCCACGGTCCACCTACATAGAAATATAGAATTGATAGAAAGGGTGGAGTTTAGCTGTTCCCAGCATAGAATTTCAATGTGTTTTGAAGATTTATTATAGTCTACGGATTTCCATAGAAATTCACTGATTTTATTATATACTACGTATCATATTTTAATGAAATTACATGAAATCCGTGAGAATCAAACAGTGGTAGGATTTTGATAAACATGTGTGTGGTGTCTTTTAAGTTAGAATTCACTTTAATTCACTACTTATGAGAATTCTTTAAAATTGACTGAAAATTGAGGATGCCAAAATATTAATGGATGCACACAATTACTCCTTCCCTACAACAAAATTCTCTTTACTTACCAATTTAGTGTCCTTAAAAATTCTTCTCATTTTCTTTTTTTTGTAAAGTTTTGTATGACTGACATCCACCTATTTTTTTCTTACTCAATCACAACCACTTTTCCACTTTATTATCGATTCCTTAAGGCTGTCCGCAATGCGAGCCGTCAATACACCTAATTTAATGTTTTCATGCAACCTAGGAAAAAAAGTATACAAACGTCTCAGGGGGAGTTGGGAGCACCTTTGAAGTGGGAAGTAGTAAAAGGAATGCGCCACCCGCCAATTGGGCACGACTAGGGCTGTTAACGAACCAAACTTTTATCGAACTATACGAGTTCGAGCTCGGTTTCGAACCTAACGAGCCGAGCTTAACGAGCTTTCGAACCGAATCCGAGCTAAGTTTTAAGTTCGAAAAATTAATCGAGCCGAGCTCGAACATAGTAGTATTCGGCTCGGTTCGAACTCGAGCCTATCGAACACCCTGGAATTATAAATTTAATTTATATATAATCAAAATTTAAATATAATTAGTATGATTTTATGAATTTAAATATGATTATTAACGAACTGAATACTTGTCGAATCATTCGAGCACGAGCCTATTAACGAGCGTCACCTAAAATTTTAAATTCAACCATATTTATCAAGCTTATCGAGCGCTCGGTTCAAGCATCGAACGTCTATCGAGCCGAACACGAGCCGCCTTTGTAAAGCTCGCCGAGCTTCGAGCTCGAACCCGAACACCATTAATTCCTTATCTAGCCGAGCTCGAGCTTTAGGTGTTCGGGCTCGGCTCGGCTCGTTAAAAGCCCTAGGCACGACTACTGCAGAAGTGGGGCCTTCAAAAAATAAAAATCTCACAAATTCTTAAAGTGGTACGGAGTATAACTTTTTTATTTGAACTCTAACTTTTACAAAACATATATCGAAATTCATAATTTTTTTTATCTTTCATATGAAACTAATATTTCATATATAAATTTTAAAAATAAATATATGAAATTTCATCTGATCGAGATCTTTAAATCTTAATTTTTTTTAAGTAGATCCATGTTTAAAAAATTAAGGTTCCATAGTTAATTTTTTTACATCCTCCATTTATTTTTAGAAAAAATAAGTCTGAATTAACAAAAATAAAAATTAATTCCAAATTTATTTATTTTTACATCACATTGTTTACCTATTTATATCATAATCATTCTCAAAAAAGAATTTTGCAAAAATATGATGTATAATAACAAAATTAAGTGTTGAATTAAAAAATGTGTTGAATGAATATATATTGACGGTGTTGAGTTGGGGGAAAAAACTGAATTGACTGAGTAAATAGGTATAAACTGGTGTGGAATTAGATTTATTGACGGGTTAGGTTGCGGTTAGACTAATAACCATGATATCAAATTGGAATGTATTTTTTGGAACGAAGGGAGTATGAATTGAGAACACTTTATTTTTTTTTGAAATCTTGAGAATTTAAAGTGGGAAAATAGGTATTCTCTAAAATTTTAAATAGGTATTCTCTAAAATGATAAAATCCATAGAATTTAATATTGAGAAAACCTAATAAAACATGCTAGTGGTGATTTGTCATTATCCACCAAAAGTAAGTCTCGGCATTGAAAGAATGGAATTTAGTTGTTTATATGTGCAAATGTGCTACACTGCTACTCCCTCCGTCCCTATTTTATCTCCCATTTCGGCTGGGCACACTAATTAAGATAGTGAGATTTGTGTGATGGAGAGTTGTGCAGAGGACAGAGAAATGTGTAAGAATGATTGTGAATCACAAATTCTTTGACAAAAAGGGAAAGATGAGATAATTTTGGGACGGACGAAAAAAGAAAGTTTGAAGATAATTCAGGGACGGAGGGAGTAGTAATTAAATAGGTTGATGTACTCACTCTTATACTCACCTTATACTCAACATGTTTGTGAAGTGTTTTTTTGTGAACCCGATTCACAGACAATATTTTGTTTGTGAAGTGTATTTTGTGAACCCCGATTCACAGACAAAAAAAATTTCACAAATATAGGTGAGTACAAAAATGAGTATAAGAGTAAGAAGCTGTTCCGTTCACCTGATCTGAATGTTTCTGATCTGAATTTTTTAAGTTCTGATCTGATCTGATCTGAATTTTTCTGATCTGATCTGATCTGAATCTTTCTGATCTGATCTGATCTGAATCTTTCTGATCTGATCTGAATGTTGCTGATCTGATCTGAATGTTTCTGATCTGATCTGAAAGTTTCTGATCTGATCTGAATTCTTCTGATCTGAATCTTTCTGATCTGATTTGAATATTTCTATAATTGTAATTATAATTATAATTATTAGATTTATAATTGTAATTAAAAATATAACTTAAATAAAATTACAATTATAATCATAATTATAAAAAAATAATAATTAAAATTAAATTTAAAATTATAATAATTATACTAATTACACTAATTATAAGTACAGATACAATTATAAATGTAATTATATTTTTAATTATGATTAATTTTATAATTATTATTGTAATTATAATTATAATACTTATTTCTATAATCATAATTATATCTATAATTACTAATTTAAATATATAATTACTCCGAAGTAATAATAATTACAACAATAACAACAAGAACAACAATCATATTAATAATGATGATGATTATAATTATAATTACATTGTAAATCATAATTATAATTATAATTATAATTATATTATATTATATTATATTATATTATATTATATTATATTATATTATATTATATTATATTATATTATATTATATTATATTATATTATATTATATTATATTATATTATATTATATTATATTATATTATATTATATTATATTATATTATATTATATTATATTATATTATATTATATTATATTATATTATATTATATTATATTATATTATATTATATTATATTATATTATATTATATTATATTATATTATATTATATTATATTATATTATATTATATTATATTATATTATATTATAATAATAATTTTATATTATTAACATTATTATTATATTATTAATAATATTATTATATTAATATATTAATATTATTAACAATAATTATAATATAATAATCATAATTAATATATTAATAAAAGTGATAAATCATGTTTGAATTTTTTGATCTGATCTGATCTGAATGTTTCTGATCTGAATGTTTCCGATCTGATCTGAATGTTTCTGATCTGGTCTGATCTGGTCTGAATCTTTCTGATCTGATCTGAATGTTGCTGATCTGATCTGAATCTTTCTGATCTGATCTGATCTGATCTGAATCTTTCTGATCTGATCTGATCTGATCTGAATAAAATAAGATTAAGGAATAAGTAATAAGATTAAGACGAACGGAACAACTTCTAAATACAAATATACACCAAAGCAATATCTTAGAATTGAGGTTGATAGTATACCCGCCCCATTCTCTCACACCCTCGATTGCATATCATTTTTTTCTCTCGATTGCATATCAAGAACAGACAAAAAAATTGCGTGGAGCATGGCCCACTGAGCATGTTTGCGACTCAACGTGATGCAGTGATTTTCTTACGCAATGGGCCTTCTGCGGATAGTCACATCCACCGGTTGGGAACATCGGCCCGTGATTCGAGTCCAACAATGACTGACATCTACAGATGAAATTCTCAACTGTTTCAATGAACCAGTTGACGGTATGTCTGTGTCTAAAATTATCTAATTTTCCTTTTTATAGTTTTGTTTAAAATGTTTTTATTTGGATTATGTTTTTTATGGTCTATAAATTCTGTTTGATCTATTTAAATTTGATATTATCTATTCTAGAATTGCAATAAGTTCATGTAAAAGCATCCCTACCCTACCGCAATCATAATTCGAGAGTCTATGTACCCTCCAACCCCGGATTTGATCACAACCAGGGGTGGAGATAGGTGAGGGCCAATCTTGACCCTGGTCCAGCCCAAATTTAAAAAATATTCTTTGTATCGGTCCAGTCTGATCTAGTGTCCTGATTCCGCCCCTAATCACAACTAGCTTCTTTGGTACTGGCTTTAAACTCCAAAGAACGAATTCAACATGACTTACATCACTTGTGTCTTCCAACCTATTCCGGTCACCACACAAACTCGCTACCTCCGATCCATTACCATCATCTTCCTTCATATCATATAGGTAGAAATTAAATTTAATACCTCTCACTAAAGAGAGATTTGGGGACATGAAGGATTTACAAATTTTTAGTATAATATTTTTCAATATTCATATTTAGCTCAATCCGCGAATGTTTAAGCTTTATATAATTACTTTTCAACCCAAAACATCTCGGAATTATGGATCCGCTCTTCTTTGGGGATAGATGGTCACACATTAAGCTACACCAACCTTCACTGAAATTATCTTTTCATATCCCAAAGATGGTATGGATGAGGCAGATAACGTGCTTGATCGAAGGCCGTCATCATTGGTCACGTAAACGTGTTTCATTTCGTTGGTGAAAATGTTGACATAAGAATATGAGGTGATTCTGAATGTGCAAGAATGGATTTTTAACAAAATTTTGCATGTATGTGGAATTGTTGTAAAGATCATATTGTTCAAGTGTATGTCTATAAGAATGATAAACCAATATGGCAACTATTTTAATTAAGGTCATTTGGAGCCTGATCTTGTTGGATAATAGATATGTAGGTTATATTGTAATTATAAGTCAATTGTTCACAATGTTCTCGTTTGAGACATTTTTTCTTGTTTTGATTACGTTTATGTTGAGTTTTAAAAGGACGGATCTATAAAAATGCTTTATTTTTCATCAAAAAATAAACAAGATCAAACGTCTATCCACACTGGCTTTTCGGAGAAAAGTAATTATGGAATTGTAAAGATGGATCCTATTGTACAATTACATGTAAGGAACTTTGGATGACAGCTCACTATCCATTTGGGCCTGATCTTGGTGGATAGTGCTCAGAGTAGATATACGTTAATGTACAAATCTGTGATAGCAATATCCTAATAGGTGGTAGACCGGTAGTGGATTAGAAAGTACAGAAATTTGGCGTTGAGACACCATGTTAACAATACATTGTGAATTTTATTGCTTATTGTTGTAAACAATTTATATACGTAGTAATTTGGACATTACAATTGAAATACTTCCATCAAACATTTAGGTCCCCTTTACTAATGGAAACAATTTTCTATTTACATGTAATGTTTTCCGGTCTCCAATTTTATCTTTCATTTTCTATGTTTCCGTTTTCTAAATCTGAAAACATTTTTTTTTTACCAAAATTTCACTATTTTCCATTTCATTTTTGAGCTTTTTACGAAAATATTACCAATAATGTGTGGGTTTACAAAAAAGTGACCGTAACTACCAATCACGTAGGTATCCTAGGAGTAATTGTAGGGATATCACTTTGTTATTTTAAGTAGTAATCATATTATTGTTGGAGATTTAAAGTAGTATGGAGTAATATTTGTGTAATTTTTTTTGTAAAGCATAAAGTATGTATACGCATAGAGCTAACATTTGAAATATAGTTTGAGTAATTCTAATTAATTAAAATAACATGAGGTGAGATAGGGTAGACTCGCCAATATGTGGTGGGGCGCGGTGGACCTACTCGCATGAGGATGAGTCTAATTTGTTCTTCATTTTTTTGTAAAGCATGTTTATGCATTTGAGCTAACATTTGAAATAAAGTTTGAGTAATTATAATTAATTAAAATAACAGGAGGTGAGATAGGGACATAGGGTAGACTCGCCAATATGTGGTGGGGCGCGGTGGACCTACTCGCATGAGGATGGGGCAGTGTAGACCCGGACGTATGGGTGGATTGGGGAGGACTCTCCCGTATGGGTGGATCCGGTCAAACCCGCCAAAATGAGATGAGGCAGGGTGGGACGACCCCACCCACTTGCTGTGTGGAGGGACAAGCCCACATGCATGGGTTTGTGGGTGGACCTGCCCTATATGGGATCGTATAGGGCGGGTCATAGAGAAACATATAGTGATCCATGTGAGTCACTAAGCAGTGAGGGTTCACATAGTAAACTTATGAGACAGGTCGATATTGCACGGCTCACCGACATATCAACATGTCTCTGTTTAGCAAGAGACAGAAAAGTGAGTCACCCAACTTAAGAAGAAAATCAGAAAGATGATCCTGTTTTTTAGTTTTGTTTTGGAAAATAATTACGTAAACACATTTTCACGTTTTTGTTTCTATGATTTTCCAGTTTTACGAAAAAAATATATTTTTGTTAGCAGAAACAACCCATTTATTGTTTCTCACAATCAAGTTTAGGCGAATGTGATGTGCACACATTAGCATTTATTAAAAACACTAATGCTATTTGTATACGGTAATTTGTACACGACACTTTACACGCCGGTCAAATTGTCTATGTGCACACAATTTGACCGGTGTTTTGTGCAAGAAACTGTTTTTCGCACATGCTGTTGGCTCTATCCCTTGAAAATCAACATGTTGACCGTGCAGCCCTTGAGTTGACATCGTTGACTGTCTAGCCCGGGAAATTGACCTGCAGAATGATCACTTAAAAGAACTAAAAATATGTTAATAGCTCGAGACACGTCAGACGCTGTCCTAAGGAATTATTTCCGGCGTACGGAAATTTCCCCCAAGATATAACGAGCTCTTCGGTTATACAACCGGTACCAGAACTAACGAGAAGAAATTAGTATATGAACCCAGCAATAAAATATTTTGATGCTACGCATAGTACATGTTATACTACGTATACTATGTATATAATACTCGTATTTTTTCCAAATAGCATGAGGCTTAAACCTTCCCTTCAAGGAGCAAGCATGCAGCGACTATACGTATACACCATGAATGTAATCAACTCTCACAAAAAATTCTTCACGTAGCAACATGCATTGTGGGTATATATGCAAATGATAATAATTTAATATAGTAATTAATTAGAATGGAACGTTATGGGCAAATGAATGAAATATTCATGCATACGTTTCATGTATGCATTAATAGTAAACAAAAGTAAGTATTTATAATAGTGTATAAAACACAATTAAAGAAATAATAATTTATTCATTTGAAATATTTTTAAAATTTCCAACAATCCCCCACTTATTTCAAATGAATAATTTTTAATTATATAAAATCAGCAATTCCTTACTGGGTTCATATATGGGGTGAGGTTTTTCAATCTGGTGTCGCGTAGACTTGAACCAAACCTAGACGCCTAAGTCTTTAAATACCGAGCTTATTGGTGAAACGTATAGTTTCTATGAACCAATAATCTACTTTGGTAAGTCAGTGTCTTAGTGGATCATTTTTCACCCCCACCTTTCTCGTCGTTAACGCCGTTGTGCGCCTCTAGGCCGTGCGCGTGCTTGGTTTTCTTGAGTGCTCTAGAAGCGTTGTCAATGCTTCATGGAGGCGGCCCCACCTCTCACTCATATAGGTGACCTCGTCAAGTGTGTCCCGCACTTAACACACCACCCGTAAGGGCTATGACAATCATTAAGAACTTTAGCTCAACCTCACAAAGAAATGCAGTCTAGCCTTCCACATCATAGAAATAGACATTTTACAAGGCTAGCAGAACAAATAGAAGACTTGTTATTACCCATTTGAACTTGCTTCATGGGATCTCCAATCACACAAGTTGGGTTCCCATCCCTATTTGTTGTCAGTGACATTAGTCCATTTCCCTCGATGTTTAACTTTATCATTTAACGTCCTAGGGATTCTATCAAAAGGAGTAGCTAATTCCTTTTAACTTCACAAAATTAATGGAATAATTCCATTCTCAAACATCATTTCACTACTTTTAAGAGTGAATGGATATCCACTATTTTATCTCACGTGAGTCGACTCAGATGACGTCGTTATATCCCGGCAATACAACGGATAACTCTCAATAAAAAAATAGCATTGATGTGACACTTTTCTACATCAGATAAATTCAATAATATGTTATATCCTAACGGATAATTCTCAATATAATATATAACATCATTGTATCATCATAGTACAATGGAAATTCTCGTATATAACATCATTGTACTTCTCTAGTACAACGGATATTTCTCAATAAGCATATCATCGTTGTATCAATATATTACAACGGATAATCTGAACCATAATTTTGATACCTCTCGAACATCTCAATAACTTAAGGTATCCCAACCATCACATTTGGATTTCATATATTAGCTCAACCTTCAATTCAACATTTTAAAATTATGACATGTCACCCACATTTAATTGTAACAAACTCATATTATTTTTAAGCATACATATTGAGCCTTGGAATCACATTATGTGTTTTGTTTTTAATATTTGTATTAAAGGAATAAGGGATATTTACATTATTAACACAGCAATGCCAAACTTCTTAAAAAGTATCTCAATGTAATGATAGTAAAATACCACCATTCTTCCTTATGGCTTTAATACTCAAAATTATATTTATTGGCTTTTCATGTATTAGCTCAATATAGCTACTGAAATAAGCATATAAAAAATTCTAGCAACACATAACCAATACTCTCACATGCATCATTTAGTGTATACACCATTTTTTTTTTAAATTTATCATATTAATCTCAAAAATAATGTAGCTTAAAGCATTACAACCAAGCACGTTGTTTCTTTAATATAAGAAAACCATGTGCTCCACTATTTTAACATATGAATAAACAACAAAAATTATATAAGCCATTTATTAACTCAAGGTAGCTAATAAGCATAACAACACAATTAGAAACATATATAAAAAATGATAATCCACGTCAAAATCAATTTTCACCAAATGTACATTTCAAATAATATAACTTTTCCCTTCACAAAAGTATTTCTCGTCTATCAAGAAATTTATTTTCTCTCTTTATAGCAAGTAATAAGATTTTAGCTAAGCACCCCACATTTTAAATATTTGAAAAAATAGGCTCATAGACAATTCTCATATAAAAGAAATGGTTCAAAATTATAGTCATCCAAAACTATATACCAGGTATGCATGCACAAAAAAATTCGTACATTAGGCAATTAAAATTGTGATAATATAGATAATAAGACCATTCCACTCAAAAGCTCCTAATAGAAAGTTACAATGTGGACAAAATCTTTGCAATCACCAAGGCCTATTCAGCACAGTTTGATTCTCAACGTATATTCACAATTGCATGCAAAAATACATACTTCAATTTTTTTTTTAAATATAAAGATAAAGAAGACTCTCCAATGACAAAATGTAATCAAAGAGGTCTAAGCGCACCACTCAACCATGTATACATCAAAATTGATTTCTGTAACGGCATGCAAATTAATTAACGATAACCGATGCAATTCTCAATTTTCAACAATTACAATTAAATTAAAATTAATAGCAATGATTCAAAGAATTTTAAAATTATGAAATATGACACTAATAATAATAAACAATTGAAAATTACAAATACAGCCAAATACAGGCAATTAATTATTATTTTTTAAAGCAAGCCATTGATTTAGAAAACTTAACATATACACATCCATTTTGACAATAGTCTCTTAGAACCTCATGTCATGGTAAAATTAATATTAATAAATAAAATTTATATAGTTCACCACACATTTCACAAATTTTTATTAATATTTTTTTTCAATAATCATAATAATTTATCACATATAAAAATAATT